GGTCTCTCTCACTGTCACACACACACACACACACACACACACACACACACACACACACACACACACACTACGTCAGCCTCCTCCAGGCCCACACACCCCCACCTCCCCTCTCCTCAGTCCGACCGGAGTGCGGTGTGAGCGGCAGCGGGGAGCGGAGGGACGCAGGGCGGCCGAGCGACCACAGAGCGCCTCCGAGCCGTCATGAGCCGCGCATCGGGAGCCGGTACCGCCGCGGCGGCGGTGGCGGAGGCAGAGGGATAGGAGGCGGGGACAGCGGCTCGGTTCTAATCGCATGTGTGTGGCTCTCCGTGTGCATCATGCTGTACTTCCAGCTGGTGATCATGGCCGGGACCGTCATGCTGGCCTACTACTTCGAGTACACCGACACCTTCAGCGTGCACGTGCAGGGCTTCTTCTGCTACGACACGAGCTACACCAAGCCGTACCTGGGACCGGAGGACCGCAGCGCCGTGCCGCCCGTGCTGCTCTACGCCGTGGTGGCGGGGCTGCCCACGCTGCTGGTGAGTGGCCGCCTCCGAGCAGACCGGAGCCGGGATGAGTGGCTGAGACCCACCGACGGTCCCGGTGGAGGAGGATGCTCAAGCCTCCCCGGTTCTGGTCGGGCTGGGGTCTGCAGATAGTGGTGACTGGAGCGCTGGTGCATCTGGTAGCTGATTACTGTATGAGGCATTTGACAGAAAATCCAGATCAATTATTGATTATGAAGCGAGCAGACGCTGCAGCCTCTCTGGTTCGGACATGTAGGAATGCTGCTGACACCAAATGAACGTGTTGCAGGCTCAGAGCTCCAGAACCCTGTTTCTGACATTGTGATTATAATAATAAGGAGTAATTCTGATGATGAGGAGCCAGATTTGTCTGACAGATCTCTATCTCGGGCATACTGATTAGATTTGGCCTGATGCCCGTAACAGCAGTGATCTCAGAGGAAACTGCTGCTTGATGTTATTTTCTTTGTTTGTCCCAAAGATAATGCAAGAATTAAACAGATTAAACTCATAATGTCCTGCACAGAGGGGCCTGCACCGGTTTGTTCTGCTGAATTATTATCTCCAGACTTCATGTCATCCAGCATTATTTTCCTCATATGATTGTTTTTTGTTGACTTTGTCCTGCTCTTTGCTCTGTGATATAAAATGATGATGCAAAATCCCATATTGAGACCGAATTGAGCTGCTCAGTGCACAAGATCAAACTTTCCTATTTATATGTGCTGCTGACCTCATTTTTAATGATCAATCTGGAGGATTATTAGCTGCAGCCTGAGAGGAAGTCCACACATGTCTATTTATTAATTCATATTTTTCTAGCTTGCTCGATAGCCGTTTACTCTTTTGCATATATACAAATGCAGATTGTGCACCTTGAGTGTTTAGTGCATCGATCACGGCTGCAGCTGGTCTGAAGCCGGCGGTGTCGGCTGATGATGCTCTGGCTCCATGTAGGACCGTCTGTACGCCTCTGTGTCTGTCTGTCTGTCTACACACACACACACACACACACACACACACACACACACACACACACAGCAGCAATGTCACATTTAAGCAGATTGAGTAGTTTGCTGGTAGTTTGTCTTTGATGGACGTCTTCATGTTGTTTTCTGATGTAATGATTTCAGGATGTTCTCACTGATGGTCTTCAGCTCGTGGTGTAAAGTCATGCAGCCATGAAGCTGCACAGACTCCAACGGTGCCGACGCCGTGTTCACGTTATTTTTCTGCTGAAAATTACAGTGAGTCAGACGGACGTGACTGGAAGTTTATTCTGAGAAACCGTTTTTCATTTTTTTGTGTCTGAGTTTTGGCAAAAGGTGTAAAATATGTAAAATATATTGACAATTTTCTCTTTACTGGACGGCTCTGGTGAAGCTGATTTAAATGCAGTTAAAGGTGCACACGCAGCAGTCCTTATGAATTACAAAGTGGTGGAGGAGAGGTGGAGTGTGGAAGACATTTAGCAGGACAAGACACCGCTGAGCCGTGTTATGGGACCTGTACGATTCGTATGTTTTATAAATGACTCCAACTTGAAGCTAAAATTCAGGATATATCTCTTTGTTGTTGAGCTTTAAAGGTGCTGTATGTTGTATTTTGAAGGTTCAGCTGCTGCTCACTAGCTGGCCCTGGCCTCGATCTGAAGCGCTTTGGTCACAAAAAATAAGAATGATTTTCATTGAGCTTTCCTGACCGACAGAGCAGGTCTGACGAAAACAGCCTAATCCAAGTTGGACAGAACGGTTCTCCAAATGAAACTAAGAACATATGAGTTTGTTTTTTTATTTCCTGTCTCCACTTCGTCCACTGGAGGAACAGAATGAGTTTATCTATTATACTTGATTATTATTTGATGAAAGTAAACTGTTCCTGCTCAGCGTCCAGCTCATGACTTTAGTCCTGGAGGCTCATTGAAACCAGGGTTTGATCCCATCCCTGCAGTTTTAAACACAGAATAGAGAATCACTGTGTGAACATACGTGTGATGCCCTCAGCAGCAGAAACACTCCCTCGGTGTGATAGCAGACCTGACTGTCAGCAGCTTTCACAGGCACTGTTTCCTACTGAAGCCATATGTCTGCTTGTCTGTCTGTCTGAGGACAGAAGGACGCGTCCTGAAAGCTGTGCTAGCGTTTGTTGCTCAGTCGTAGCGCTAGCCCATCACTTGAATGTGATTTGTTGATTTAGCACCACTCGGATGGCTCAGTGCCTCTTTCAGAGTTTTATTAATCTAGCTTACTCATGCAGACTCTCCCCACAGCTAGAGGGAGTCCCAGCAGCTGTGTCCCACTCAGCGCTGCCTCATTTTTCCACAAAATCCAACAGTGCTGTCTTCTAATGCCGTCTTCACGTTTGTTTAAATGTCTGTACGGTTTTAGCTCTGAGCTGTGTATAAACTGCATCGATACACAGCCGAGAGTCGTGTTCCTTTTTATGGAGTGAAATAGAAAGTGAAGATGTTGAGGTTGGGCTGCTAGATGCACCTGTAGCACCATGTGTAGAAGGTTCCAGAGCAGCTCCTGGTCAACATCAGCTCTTCATCTTGTCCTTATTTCATTTATATGTTATTTATATGTTCAATTCTTGCAGAGATAAGTGCTTCAGAGCTTAAATGTACATCTTAAAAACCTACATTTACTGGTTCTGCAAGAATTATTAAAAGAGGTGTTGATCTGCAAGCTGCTGAAATCAGACCAATGAGTTCTCAATTACAGATTCAGATTCGCTTTATTGTCACTGCAGCGAGTACAACGAGCAGTAAGGTGCAGGCCTTCCAGAGCAAAAAACAAACTTTATAGACAACCGTATACAGCATAATATAAAAAGGTGAAACTAAATAATAAGCATGAGCACGGTGGATGTTGCCCAGAGGTGGTGCCGGCTGCATATTGGCAATAAATTGCACTTATTACGATAAAGAGGCGTTTATGGCTCTGACAGCAGTTGGAAAGAAGCTTTTTTCAGTCTATCAGTCCTGGTTCTGATGGACCTGTACCGTCTCTGGTTCTGATGGACCTGTACCATCTGCCCGACAGCAGTAGCTCAAACAGGAAGTGGCCCGGCTGGTAGGAGTCCTTCAGGATGGTGTCGGCTCTCCTGAAGAGCCATGAAGGTCCTCCAGTGTGGGTAGAGGACACCCAGTGACCTTCTCAGCCATTTTGGTGACCCTCTGGAGGTCTTTACCTTTTGAGAAAAGTGTGATTTCTTATTGAAACCAGCACATTTTCTCACCTGTAGGAAAGGCTTTTAGTTTCAAAGAGCCACTAAGTCAGTGTCATGTGTCAGGAGGAGTGGACATCGGCATGAGTCATCATCATGACCTTCACCGAGGAGACCGAGGTTCATGGAACCATTTGGAACCATTAGTGTTAGACTTAAGTTTAGTTTTGATTCATTTCAGTTGTGGTCAGGTTTAGGCACTAGGGTTTGGGAAAATATCACACTTTGGTTGACGCTTTTCAGAAGCTTCATTATGTTTGGGCACCAAGACCAGCTGGTGTAGGAGAACGTCACGGTTAGGATAAAAATACGATCACTTCTAATCCATAGAGTAGGTTACCACGGTGATAGTATAGTATATGTTTAGAATGGTCGGCTGAAATAGTAAAACAATCAAATAAATGGCAAAGATATGTTGTTTAAAAACATATTTGTCAGGCATCAAAAAATGTTTCCTTCATAAAATACTTGGGAACCAACTAAGATAAAGCTAAATACAACAGTTATCATCGCCCTTACTGCTTCCTGTGGTGAAGAACGTTGGCTTGCTCCACAATAAATCACTCTTGTTTGACTTCTATGTTTGCAGCTATAATGAACATTCACTGACCTATTGCTCTGTGAATACTGTGATCACGTTGGCGTGCCTCGGTGTGCTGGATGTGTTTGTTCTCCTGGTCAAACATCTGTAACACAGCAGCTGACCTTCCATCTGCCTGAGTAAAAACTGAATCCAGCCACCCAGTCAATCAAAGCCGTCCTCATATGCATTTACAGATTTTTAAAATTCTAATTTTATGTTCAACATGGATTTCACCATTTTCCCCCCCGAGTTGTTTTCTGATGCTTCACAGCCTTGTTCCTCTACACATGAGCGTTCATGGACTATTCTTTGCAGACAAGTAGTTTTCTCACAGGCTGCAGACATGAAGGGAGGAAAACCAGTAGGCGTCACACATCACTTGTCGGCTGTCCGGGCACATAGCGGTGGGCTGAGCGTCGCTGGTCTGAAGCCGTGCCAGTCGGTTAGCGTGGAAGTGCGAGGAAGGACATGGGCTGTTTCTCCAACAGAGAACAGCACACTGTAGTGTTTGTCTGGTTAACACCGCTGTGTGTCGTGTTCCAGTCTGGCTCTTAGAGCTGCTCTGATGGAGTCGGACAGAATTATTCATACAGAGACACGTCCAGAGATGGTCCACGGTGGTTTTACTCATCCTGCCTCCTACCAGACTACGTATGAGGGTTTTCTTTTTTGTTGTATTTTCAAGTACACGTTGTGGAATATGATATAGACAATACATCGTCTAAAGATGTCATGATTGGCTATCAGCTGATAAATGATTGCACTGTCACATGCTGGTTTCTTACATAATGTGGTTGCATGACGGCTGACTGCTCGTGGCACAAAATGGAAATTAGAATAATGAGCGAACAATTAAATCAAACAATTATTTTGAAGTTATGAACAAAAAGGTAAATAAAGTTTGAAACCCGTTTTTCATTTGATTCATTTGAAACATGTGATTTAAAAAAACAACAACTACAAAGCGTTGGACCAGAGATCTCCAGCTCTGGTCCTCCTGAATTACTGTCCTGCAGGTTCTAGACGTTACTGCAACACACCTGACTCACATTAATGGATCATTAACAGACTTGTGTAGAACTTGACAACAAGCTGTTGGAGATCCATTAATGTGAGTCAGGTGTGTTGCAGTAACGTCTTAAACCTGCAGGACAGAAGCTCAGGAGGACCAGAGCTGGAGATCTCTGGGCTAGAAGAAACC